TTGTGGAGAGCAGCGTTCCTGGGAAAGATACTTAACTCCCATCATTACCCAGCCACATAATGCTGGTCCCAAGCCCAAACATGAGACTGGTTGTGTAAGAAACGACCATCTGGTGTTCAAACTGTGCCAGTATCACTATGTGAATAACCTGGTGTGGCCACAAGTTAAAGGGTTTCTTCTTTAGCTGGATTAGCATCTGCTATTTAAAGAAACAGCAAACAAAAATCTTCAAATTCAAATAAATCTAATCTTTTGCTATGGTAACCCCATGTTTGGATAACAGTGATCCAAAACAGTACCAGTACTACTTTACTTTTACAAGGTAAACACAGAGTCCCTGTTCCAAAGGTAGTTTCTCGTCTTGTGCAGCTGTTGCTTTAAATAGTGATTAAACCTAAGTATTTCTAATGACTGAACATTCAACTCTACTGTTTCTGTTACTGCGGTGTGAAAATGGCAATGGATTGAAGTTGACGTCTGTACAGATTGTAGCAGGGAAAACATCTGCTACGAGCTTGAGCTGAGAACATTGTTCTCCTGTTGGCCAGACTGTAAATGACAGAGCCCGAGGGGCAGAGTGCTCTCTTCTCTCCCTGAGAACAAGAAGAGCTCGGCAAATCACCGTCTGCTTGATCTGACTGAAGACACAAACAAGGCATCTTTAAAAAAAAGAAAAAAAAAGAAACAGAGCTGTTCTTAAACACAGCCTTCATTTGAAAAGAGTGCATACTTTTTTTTAGACTACATCTGTTTGCTGTCTGAGGACACTTGTTTGACTTGCTGTGTCAACACGACACGGGGACCTGTTGTTCAGCTTCACCTGTGTTCACTTTTTCCAAAACACTGCCACAACAGCACCTTCCTGCTGGTCCCACCTCGGAGCCCAAACACAAACAGCGACAAACAACCAGACGTTGTCTCCACGCAACACTCTTGACGTTCCGCTCTTGTTTTTCTCTTAAACAAATGTTACTGCAGGAAACGGACAACTTTAACGCAAAAACAAAAAACATGTTTTTCACATTTCAAATTGCGTCACTGTACATATATTCTAAAGACATAATACGACCCTGCAGACATGCTTGGTATTTGAGCTGCAATATTAGTATTTGTTGGATAAACATTTTTTTTCTTGACATTTTTCCACGTTTTTTTAAATTCCATCATTTGAATCAGTCAGATAAAAAATGGAGATACACACACACATCTGCCTGCTGTTACTTGACTTTTTTTTAACCGTCCTGTGGTGAAATCATCAAATCCACTCAGATCTAATGTAGAAATGCTAATATAGAGTGTCCAGAGCTAAAGATGTCATTAGCCGTCAGTTAAAACATCGCTCCATGTCGTCCTCTCAGGTCATACAACTGACACATATCCAACCTCCCTCCCTCCCTCCCTCAGGACTTCATATGACCTTACATGAAACATTCCTGAGTGTAGGTCTGATACCAGTGTGTGTTTACACAGCACTGGGTGATCACCGCTGGCACAGGCTGTCCGAGCCTCGCTGGCTTTTCTGGGGCAGAGCAAGCCAATGGGGGCGGGTGAGAGGGGGCACATTGTACCGAGGCTGTGGATATCAGCCTGAAGGCTTTAAACACACTGCACTGTGGCTGAACAATGGTGACGCATTCAGAAATCAGGGCAAGAACACCTGCATTTCTGCCAACGTGCCTCCTCTCCAGTGGAGTGCGAACAACACGAGTATGTTTGTCTTTTTAAAACATCCAAAATAGTTCAGAGGTGTTCATCTCATGTTTCAAGGAGAGGAATAAAAAGAATAAACAAATTGAAACGCATGTTGTTTAGTGCCACCTAGTGGTTAAGTTTTGTGTATCAAAAAACGATTTCTCACATTATTGTCCGTGTGCAAAGACCAGTTAATGTTGAGGCTTTAATTAAACAGTTTTTAATTAAAAACTAATTGAGTTCAGCCTAAAAAAGAAAAACTGAAAATATTGATTAAAACAATTATTCAACTATAAAAATAAGAGTCAACTAATTTAAAAATTAAATATATGTTTAATTTATGAAAACGTTAATTATTTAAACACACACAAACACTAGTCTTCTTAAGGTAGGTGAAAAAAACATTATGATCCAGTGTAACGTGAGGAAACTCACCTGATATAAATAAAAATAGTCTCAGTCTGGAACAATTTAAATCAATTTTAAAGACCGAGGCTTCACTCATAAAAGCATCTGTTAAATTGGTTTCTACTCATTTTTTTTCCAATAGAAAATCCATGAGAATTTTCTTTCTTCTGAATTTACAGTGCAACTTTGGAAAAAAAAAAACAAAAAAAACATCTTCAATCACAGGTTGAGTTCTTTTTCTCCTAATAAAAGGCTTTTAAGTGTGTATATTGAGTTAGGAGCCCACGTCACGACCCCTACGCCCCCTCCCTCAGGTCTCTTTTACCCCCCCTCACTACTTTATTCTTCATTTTCTTCTCTGTTCACATGTTTAAAGTGCAGTTTATTTTCCATTTGCGGGGGGAAATTAATCTCCCTTTTTTTGCTCCGTAGCAGGAGGAGGCCGAGCTCCTGGAGGAGGTCTATTACCTCTGCTGCCAAGTGGGCTCCCCCTCCAGGTCGGATTGCATTAATACCTCCTTTATAGCCAATCAACTGGACCGCTCGTATATTTTAAGAACCAGTAAAAATAATTGAAGTAACCTCCGTGAGGAGAGTGTATTCACACACTTTAATCTCTTATTTAAGAGGATGGGATTGGGTTTGAGAAATAAAATATAAGACGCTGACGCCGAGGAGCCTGGGAGTGAAATATAGTCCGGGATATGTTTCAGGTGTTGGAGAAGCAGGACTGACATATCCTGGGCTCACGGCGCATAAGGAAATGAAACGGTGGAGCTGTATGACAAACACCTTAGGTTTTCTTTGATGTCTGTGTCAGCACTGTCTCGGCACGACGCCAACAGGAGCCGCTTCACACAAACAGCCAGGTCCACACGTCTTAGAGCATTAGAAATGCAAAATCCATTGGCTACGCTTTTTTTTTTTTTTTTTTTTAAACAGGGAACAAGCAGGAACAAGTTACTTTTAATGTCTGTAAAAATCAGAGTGAATTTTTTATTTTCCTTCTAAGAGGTTTTCCTGCATACAGAAATAAAAAGATTCCAGTGGACGAGGTCAGAGGAGATAACCACACTGTACTTGAGCTGCGAATCATTGTCAGGGCCTGAATCCGACCTATTTCCACCATGAAACAGGTCACAGAGTCAATGATTAACTCGTCTGCGCAGACGCACATTTTCCCTCCGCGCGCGCACGCACACACACACACACACACACACACACACACACCTACATAAACAGCTGCATTACAGGAGTTCCTGTTGGCCGAGATATTAAATCACTTTCTCTCCAGCAATAAAAAGTCTGTGACAGTGATTGACAGAAAGAAAAGCATGTTTGACAAAGAGCAGCAGATACTGAGTGTCAAAAACGACTGCGTTACTAATAGACCTCATAATTAGCCTGGCAATAAAAGACGGACCAGGTGTCAAAACTTTGACATTTGAAGGATTAATAATTGCTGACACAAACTATAATAATTAACGTGCAGTTGAGGGAAAAAAACAGAGTATTATATTTGCACTTTGTTTCACTGCGAGGAAGGTGTTCTTTGGGTCACATGCCTCTCCTGTTGCTCTCAACAAAGCGACAAAGTCCTTAGTTTGACTAAAGAAATCTTTGATTAAAGAGCTCAGGTGTTTGTATCCTTTTAGCTCGCAGGCTAGCGCAGGAAAAGGCTGACTGCTGGTTCAAATCCCTGACTTGGCTGACTGCTAGTTCAAATCCCTGACTTAGCTGTGGTATGATGAGCAAGAACCAGAAAAAAAAGAATAATAATCAAAGCTGATTTTCCAGTTTAATAGATGGCTTAAATGCGTCCCGCTCAGTCAGGTTGACATGGATTACTAGTTTTCTTTGTGTGTCTTTTGAAAGGTCTTTAGTTTTTTGTAGTTGTGCTGTTATTATTTGTACTGTGGTTGTACTGGAACATGAGGTTAATACCTGTTAATCTACTTCAGGACACTTCTACATCAGTGCTGAGACGGCCTCTCCTCTCAGTCATGAGTCTCGTCTCTACGTTTCAACCTGTGACACATTTTCATTTTATAATGTTTCAAAGACTGTGACCTGTTTTTAATCTTTAAAGAAATTACAGCATTAGAAAAAAACTAAAAAAAAAAATAAAACCTTAAAGGTTACTACAAGACTGGAGCATGAACAGGAGACGAAGCGGCCGCTCTCCAGGACAGATCTGCTGTAAACACAGTTCACATCACATCTGCTCCACTTGTTTACTACTTGCTAAGAGAGGGTGTTAATTAACGTTGTGAGAGTTACTTGTTAAGTTTCACTGCTTGTCTGTAAAGTGTGTTAAAGCATTTGCGTTTTTTTTTTCTTTTCTTTTTAAACTCATACAGCCTGAAGGAGAGTTGATAATTTATTTGAGTTTGTTGGCAGACAGCACTTTCTTCTCATCAGAGTTTAAGGATCAGCTCAGAGTTGTAATTAATTGTTTGACTGCTCTCATTATTTTTTTTATTAAAGAAGACCGACCCAAAGAGAAATAAATCTTCTTACCGTTTCTTTGCTGGGAAGAAGCTCCTTCCGGATCCTGAAGAAGTTTTTGCCGAACTGTCTCAGTCCTTTAATGAAGCGTTTCTGTAGCGTTTCACAGAGGGAAAGGGGAGAGAAGAGGAGGAAACGGCACCAGTTAGGAGGAACTCAGACCAACTGCTACCAGTTACAGTCTTTTAAATACACACACACACACTCACACACACACAGACACAGAGACGAGAAATCAGTTTTCATTTCACTTTCTGTGGTTTGAGAGGTTTCTGTGTCTGTGGCGGTTTAAAGTCCTCGGCCGTGTCAGACGGAGGAGATGACGAGCACGACAGGAACAGACAGACAGACTCAGCTCCTTTGTACAAAATAAAAATTTCAAGACCAAGAAAAAAGCTGAAGTCTGGGTCAGATAACATGTTTAAAGTCATATCTAACAGCTGGGAATTTAAAAAACCAGAAAATAACTTTTGTACAAGGATGAAGTCCTATTATTCCCCACTATATTTTTTAGCAAAAGAAAAACTGTGAAAATATAAAAACAGGCCAGTGTCCACAGACACAAATATAAGTGGAGAAAAATCATTAAAAAAAAAAATCCCCAGTAACTTCATCAGCGTGAAGTCAATCTGACATGAAAACAGAATCCGGACAAACTGCCCCAGGTCACAGCATTGAGAATGAATAGAAATAAGAGCAGAAGCTGAACCACCTAAATATTTCTCTCCTCTTCTTTAAGAGCCACAGGCTGTGAGCCATTAAAAAAGCAGAGGCAGAAAACATTCATAACCAGCGAAGCAGACGACCAGCAGATTTACTTTCTTGTTCCAGAGGCGAGTCCCGTCCCTCAGTGATCTCAGCCAAGCGTTTCCACAGACTAACTCCAGCAAAAAGCAGAGCAAAGTCCTCCGTGAGAGCAGAGCAGCTCTCTACAGCCGGCCACAGGTTCAGGAGGAAAAATCAGGAGAAAATCCACACAGTCTCTGACGGTACATTGCTGGTTTTTATTCCTTATTTTTTTTACAAGCAAGAAATAGCTTGTCACTCTCTGCTCTACCACTACAAAGGGGAAGGCTTTACATGTGATCTTTCTGCAAGAGAGACTCTGGTTTGCGGCAGGAAGGAAAACCCGGAGTGGATTCCTGACTCCGCTGGGTTGAGCCTGTTCCTTGCTCCTGTGGCATGTTTCATGGTTTGTTTGTTTGTTTACCAGTGTATGACAACAAACCAGAGACATGGCTTGTAATTAAAGGAGAGCAAATGTAATTATTCCCCTTAAACAAAGGTAAGAGGTGAACGTGAGGAGTCAGGCTCAGAGAGGAGTCAGCCTGAGACACCAAGTGGAAAAAAGCCCTTAGACATGGTTCAGGAAGAAGGGCCGGGAGAAAAACCTGACATGGAGCTCATTGTTATGGTAGTTAATTTACTCTGTCAACTACAGTACATTATGTAACCACAGATTGTTTACATTCCCAGCTCCTGGCCGGGAACAAAGGCCACATTAGCACAGCTAACAAAAGCCAGAGGCTAAAGAAAACTGGGAAATTTTCCTCAGCAACAGGAGTGATTCACTAATGTTCCTGTTGTTTTCTTGTTTTTTTTTTTGATAATAAATAAATAGATTTTTAAAATGCCATGGTTTCAATATAAACAGAGTCCAAACAGCTACTTGATATTTAACTGATTTTACACCAGAGTAAAAAATAAAACACCAAAGGCCAGATGAAAAAAAAAAAAAAAAGTCAAAGACCGGAGGTGGGAATAATTAGTCATTAGTTTAATCAGTGTCATCAGCAGTTAAGTAGTTCATTTGCATCAATCAGACTGAGGGTGCAGCGGCTGATTAGCCAGTAGATGGAGCTGTCACCGGCAGCAGTTTTTCCCACACACAAACACGTGACAGCTACTTCAGGGGTTTAGAGCAGATTTAAGGCTGGGACTGTCAAAGTTCCACTGAGCTGAAGGCGGCAGGGGAAACGTCAGAGCAGCCACTCAGCTGATCACTGTTACAGAGGCCTGTTTGACAGGACAGGACTGCAGCCGTCCAACACTGGAGACATGTTAGCTTTAGAGATGACGGTGTGAAAGTACAAATATTTAAATAAAACACTGACGAGCTACGACTCAGGGCACTCGGTTTGTTTGTTCAGTGAGATCCTGCAGTTTAAACATGCTTTAGAGTTTGAAAATAAAGTTTATTTTTTTAGTTTACTTTCTCAGTGTCTTCTGTTTGTTCTATTTCTGGGCTAAATTACCCAAATACTTTTTACTACTTTAATTTAATGCAAATTTAAGTCTTACTTACATTTTTTTGCCACAAACTTTTTACCCCAAGGACATTTTTTAATGAAACTCTAATTGCGTGTTCACAGCCTTAAACTTACATTTTAGAAAATAAAGGTGAAATTTACCAAGAAGACATTTATCTTAGATATTTAAGTAACTGTGAACTATTTCTGAGCAAACCGCTTTGTTAAAAATTGGCAAAAGACGACAGTTTAAATAGATTTTAGATAATTTGAGGTTATAATAAATATATTCTATTTGAAACTGTAGCTCCAATAGTAAACTGCTAAATGCTACTTGGCTGCTAGATCATATTTTTTATATTTATTTTTATATTTTAGTGTTTAGAGTGTAGTTTTTTTTTAATGTTTTTTTCTTCTTAGTTGAAGGAAAAACTGTGGCATTTTGAAGGCTCTTCAGACTGAACTACTTCTAAACGTCAGTTTTTAGACCCACTATTTTAACAGCCAATAACACAATCTTATGTCCTACTAACAGCACTTTAACTAAGTCTGTTGGTCTACACACAGCAACTGTCTGCCTGCTCCCTCTCTTTCTCCTCTCCCCTTTTGTCCTCCTCCTCTTCCTCCTCCGCCCCCTCCCATGTTTTCTTTCTCTCGCTGGCTCCCTCCTCCCTTCTCTACATGTCGGCTCCAGTTTAAGGCTCCATTTCAGCTGCCTGGGCTCACTGCTCTCCAGCCCAGCTAATAAATCATCCGCCAATCTGCTCCCTGAATCACTCTGCCCCTGCTCCGATTGCTCCAGCCCCGCGTTGCTAGGAGACGCAGCGACGGAGGAGGGGCCGAAAGAGCAGTGGGCTCCACCAAATGGCCATCCGCTGAGCAGAAACAACAGGCTTCTCTCTCAGAGTTGAGAGGTGGCGCTTTTCACCCTCCCTAAGTTTCCCTCCTCAGTCTAACAGTGCACTATTGTGAGGCAGGAGAGGAGATATAAAAAAAGGAGGTGGAGAACAAGAGGGAAAAAATGATTCAATGGCTCTTTGTTTTGTGTGTGTGTGTGTGTGTGTGTGTGTGTGTGTACTTCCTGCCTGTGAGCTGATTGTTGGAGGTTGTAAAACTGGTTACGATAATGCAGACATATGCACAAAGATGGTATCAAGATGACAAACAGAGCGCTGCCTCACACACAGAACATAACTCCTGCTAAATGTCATCGCATGACAACACAGACACAGGGCCGCCAAACAGAAAACAAAGGCACGCTCGCTCGTTTATGGACTCATTAGACCTGAGTCCTAGTTAAACGCTGACCTTTCAGAGACTGCTGTGTGTAAACCCAGAGGCCCTGATAGCTTAAAGCCAAATGAACCACCCTGCAGTGTCTGATGGGAAATATCAGCTGCTCATCATGTTTGTGAGAGGAGAAAAAAAAAAAAAAACACAAAATCACAACGTGCCTGAAGAGACAGGAAGAGGAAACCAATCCTTGACTTTTCCCAATCCTATTCAAGCTGACACCCAGTGTTGCTTTTTTTAAATTTTGGAGATGGTTTTATATTACAAATGTCAGTAAACACAACCTTTAACAAGCTGAGTAACATCATCTGCTTCCTCTGGCTTTCGTGCACACAAAAGGTGACAGGAAATTCCAGCACACACCCATCCTGTCTGCTGTTTCGTGGCTAAACAACCTTAAAAAAAAGAATTTCTGGCCAAGGGTGATAAAACTTCAGGGCGATCTTCCTACAGGTGAGAACAACTAACGTGAAGCTTCTCACTGAACTCCAGAATGATCCAGTGCCTGCAGCGATCGAAGCCGGTTTATTTGTTTTGTTTTGTTCGCCTGCGGTGTTTTTGATTAGATGGGGAGACTCAGGTCTGCAGGCCTGGGCTCCGCCACTGGGGGGCCGCTATTCTCCCTTCTGTCTTCCCTCCCGTTGCCGTGCTGTCATCGGCCCGCTCTAGTCATCCATCACCTGAAGATACAGGCAGAGATAAGCCGCAGCACGGCACATCTGGCTGAGAAATGGACCTCCCGCTCCACAGCAGTCATAGATCAGACACACACACACACACACACACACATCCACCAACACCACTGCTGCTGCTTGTGATTGTTTATATGGCTCCTCCTGTTGGCCAATGCATTATTAGCAGCACTTATTTACACTCAGGGTCGACAGCAGCTCCATACGCCAAGACAACTTCACTAAATCAGGTTTGACGCTGAAAATCCCTTTAAAGACATTTAAACCAAGACAAAAACAGAGACGATACAGATACGATCTTACAGGAGATGAAAATACCTCAGCAACCAGACAGGGCACAATTATGTCAGAGAATTGTTTTTAAAAAACACTAGTGAAATTACTAGCTTTGATTCAGAGGTGTTGTCACTGCACACCGATTAAAAAAACAAGGATTAAAAAATATATATGTTTAAAAATGTTCTAATCAAGCTTTAATTTCATGACCACCTGTCAATACTTCATCAGATCTTCTAAGAGCTGCAGACCACTGACGACCTCGACTCTAAACCTTGAATCAAAGTTAAATGAGGTTGGCCTTTATTTATAAGAGAAAAAAAGGAAAATGTTCAGTCTGGAGAAAAGTGTTTGTTGCTGCTGCTCATAAAACTAAAGGATATAAAAAGACCTGTGTGGGTGGTGGATGTAGAAGTAGAAAATAAATATTGAAAAACAATAATTAAAATAAAACTGTGTTGAAATGAAGTCAAGAAGTCTCTAAACAGAGGAAAATAATTTTGTCTCTTATGAAGTATGGAATAATATGAAAAGCAGAAGTTCGTTCCACGATAATTCAACTATTGGTGAAGAATAAGAAAAAATATTCAAAGGCAAAAGTTTCAAACTGCTTTCTGTTCAAGAGTTGATGTTTGAGCTGAGACTTTTTCATCTTCAGTGGAAAACCAACAGCAGTTCTGCGATGGTTTTGATTTGCTTTGACAAATAATTGATCATTAACGAAGGGAGACGTCTGCTCCATGTCTGCTGTTTTTTCAGACTCCACTAACATCCTCTGTCACCTGGTCTGTCCACAGAGCTATTTCAATGAAGTATTTCTCTACAGTCTGCTGACAACTCTGAAATATTCAGACCTAAATGATGTTTCTCTGCTGTGGTCCACAGTCATCACTTCACTGATGAATGAAACCCAACGAAATGGTGCGATGAAAGACTGAGGTGATGGATTTATTTCCCTGTGAATCGTTAAAAAAAAAAATCTCATCTAAAGAAATCTTGCAGGCCCGCCATCGCAAATCTTTCTGGAGCTGAAATACATTTCTGCCGGTGGACAATAAAAATGAAGTACACAAACACGACTCTACGAGACTGTCACTTCCTCCGCAGCTGTGATAAAAACGACTGACGGGAGACCACTGCAGTGTTCTGCTCTTATCTTTTGTGTGGGCGCGCCTGTGAGGAAGGGAGGGATGCTGCAAGAGCAGTCAAAGGTCGAGGAGAGGGTGACAAGTGACCCTGCAGACGGGCTGAGTTCAATGGTCCCGCTGTCACTTTTACTCACATTTCCAACAGAAAACTGCACGGCTGCAGCGGAAAAAAGGCCAGGCAGGAATAATGAAGCGAGGATGGAAGCAAGGATGAGATGATGAGGGAGTGAGGGAGATGTGAGGTGAAGTGAAGGGTGATAAATAAATGAGGAGCAGCAGCGCCGCTTTTTGCGAGTGTGTCAAGGTTGATGCTACATGTGCAGCGGTCCCCTCAAGGCTGCAGGACCGTGGATTCACAAGAGGCGATCAAAACACAGAGAGCTGTGTCCTTGGCTGGCCAGAGTGGAGCCACTGAGCTACAGAGGTACAGGTGGACCCCCCTCCCCCCCCCTCGCTGTCCCCCCACAGTCAATGAACCTGGGAGCCAGCACAGAGATGCCTGGCAGCTCCTGTGTGAATGAAGTCAACTTGACCCAGAATGAAGTGAATGGACTGAGGGACAAAGAACTGAGCAGCTTTTACAGTGTCACCACAAACCATCCATCAGCTGAACTCCTCACCACAGCCAGGGTCAGCCAGGGTCACAGGGTCAAAATTATGTAAAATATTATATATATACTGGACTACTTCAAGTGTATAATTATACTACAGTAAACAGGTGCTGCCTTAAGTTCAGAGTTTAAAAATGAAAGTCAGGAGGAGAGAAAGCATCAGCTCACAGGAGGAAACTCACTGCTGTAAATGATGGATCTCCAGATTATTTAAAGCAGCGCTACAGCAGTGCAAGGGTTAAATCTATCTAACAACACGATGCTAAATTATTAATAAAGTTCTGCCCACATCACAGCTTTTAGTCAGACTATCCAACACAGAACCACTACCACACTTATATCATGAAACAATGTGTTGGCGCTTCTACAGCACACCCTACAGGGAAAGGAGGGGTGCTACATGCTCTGACTTTAATTGGTTTTATCGTCTTTTTTACAGGCCTGTAGAAATAAATCACCCCACTTGGTGTTAAAAAAAAAAAAATCACAGACGTGTTACTTAGTCAGACCTGAGCTGAAATTAGTCCAGACCTCATTTACTTTCTAACAATAAATTCAAAGATTACAGACGGAGTTGTCTTTAGATAATGACAGTTATCTCAGGCTTTTTATTCACATCTGTCCATCGTCAGAGGACACATCAGTTCATGTCCATCACTGAGACATAAAGTCAACCAGAGTCTACATATTCAAATACAAAAAAATCCATAGCAGCTAAATGAGTCAAGTAATCACTTCAGTGTTGGTAACGAGTTATTTACAGACTGAAGCGCCGAGCCCCTGCAGTGTTGTTGTGATCCGTGGTCTGTGGTAGACCTGCTGCGGTGGAGTGAGGAAATTCAGCTTCCCATCAACATTCCTCTCCTCCACTCTGATTATCTTCACACAGCAGTTCAGCTTGGAAACAGCAAGAACGACAACTAAAACACACACACACACACACAGACACACAACACGGTCCACAAAAGCACGGCTGGCTTCATTTATTTTTGATTCACTGCCTTCCTGCCACGGCTCCGGCTCTGGCTTCATTCAAATGTGCCCATCATGTTCAATTACAAGATAAATACACCCGTTCACTTGCACAAGATCAGAGCGGCTGAATTCAAAGGCGAAGCACAGGCTGCCCAGCTGCAGCCCAACGACATCGTATTAAAATGGAAAAAAACAATAAATAACCCGGGAGAAGAGAAAACCGGGCAGAGGATTTACAGAGATGGGGGCTCTTGTTTTGTTTTTGTTTCCTTCTCTCAGATCATAGCGTGGACACACACAGATGTGCGTCATAAAGCAGTGAGGTCGAAGCCTCCGCTCTCAGAGGCTTCCACACGGTTTTATCCTCCGTTTTATTCCCCCTCCTTCCCTGCCGGTTTGATCAAGAAGGAGAGCTGCCATTTTCTGATTTCAGCCCTTCAGCAGCTGTGGTAAAATTCACATCTAAATTCAAATGGAGGCTAACATTACCAAGCCTCACCACCCCTTCCCCCCCCACTCCCTCACCTCCCCCCTCGCTCCAGACATCCATGCTTAAGATTTATTCTGTGGGTCATAAACAGGATGCAGCTGCTCTTCAGCCTCCGAGGAGCTGGAGTCTGACGACTTTTCACTCATGTCTTTTGAGACCCAGCCAAGAGCTGTTATTTAACGCCCTCTCAACAGCGCCCTCTATAGACACAAACTTAGCCCTGACTAAGAAGAAAAATCAACAGAAAGACCCTACAAGCCTGTGTCGAAAATACTATCCCTTAAAATATATATATATATATATATATATATATAATTGTAAGAATAGGTTTGTGACACACATATACATACATTTAATCAGCAGCCCAACATATACTGTACATAGAGAATATAGTATGTTCTGCTTATGAGACTAAAATATGTATTTAACGTTTTCCACAGGCAGATCACTGTAGCCTGGTTTCTAGTGGTTTCTAGATATCAAACCAGTCCAGTTGTCTATTTCCAAACTGGTTCCAAAATTCCAGGAAACTGTGGAATTACCAAATTGACTGGTAACAGATTTGTCCAGATTGACTGTTAGAAAGAGAACCTAGCAGGTTAAACCACGCGTCTGAGCTGCTCTGAGTTCAACCTCCGTCGTGGTTTGATTTCAGCTCAGTGGCCTTTACAATAACTTAAAAAGAACAACATAAAAACAAAAAGCTTCTCCTACCACTTCATCCTCTGACCAGCACTTCTCTATCAGTTTGGGGACTGGCTTCTTCACCAGGCGCTGCAGAGCCTTTCCTGCGTCGTAGCTGCTCTCATGAAGCTGTATGGAACAAAGAACGACACACGTGTCTATAAAACATTTGTCCGATAGAACGGCGGCCGGTTGTTGGTGTTTTATGCACCGACAACATTACATGTACAGATGTAAAACTTGATTTTTATTCCTACAATAAATCTCAAACTCAAGTCATTGCATGTAAGGAATTGCTGCACAAACATGTCAACGGCAGGTTGTAAATATAAAACTCGAAGGTGAGTGCGAAACAGCTTAAAGCTGTGACACGTTCAATAGGCTGCAACCTGCAGAGCTGTCGCTTCCCCTCGGAGAATAAATAAGATGCTCATTGGAATTGCAGATAGAGAAGGACACAGAGGAGGAACCTGCTCACTATGTTAATTTTCCACCTCAGCATATAAATGTCCTGTTTGTGATGATTCTCCTCTGTTTTTGTGGCCGATTCCTCTGTATTTAATGCCATATCACTGAGAAATATGACCAATTACTGAGCACCTGATGAACTGCCAGCATCTCAGGATGCTTCATCTGGCAGGGGGCGCTTGATCGCCTCACCAGTGACCATCACCAGAAATGAGAACGTTAATCACGGTAGGTTTTCGTGTTTTGTCTGCATGGCGACTCACAGTGTTAAGTGCGTTTAATGTAGTGTCGTCTCGAGAGGCGGCGAGACACCCGTCTTCTGTGGAGCCGCCGTCACACATTCCAGCGAAGGCAGCCATGCTCCTGTGAACATGAGGGGAGATAAAAACACCGTCAGAACGTCTGTAGACACCGAGATACAGAGGTTTGTAGAAAAAACACTGAAGTGTGTCTACCATAAACAAAAATATAAAACAATGATTTTTGATTTTTTTTTTCATACTAGCTTCAAAATGACATTACTGAAGAGAAACTTATCTTAAAGCAGTGGTTCACAGATTTTTTCTGTAACATCCCTCTTTTAGAAATCATTTAATTTGCCTTGGTATGCCCACCCCGCACGTGGTCAGCACCACCTTGGGGCCTCGCCCCCTACTTTGTGGACCACTGTTTACAGTATCTTCCATGGTCTCGTCACATGACTGCGGTATCTTGTGGTTCTTATCCACTGGCTCTCTCTGAACTGTTGCAGGCGGTTAAAGAAGTGATCAGGTTTTTGTTTCAGACTCTTGTGGGGACAAGTCTGTGGTACAACTTGAGCAGAATGTGATTTTCTGCTCTACGACACAGACTTTACACCCAGACTGTGTCCATGTGGGAGAAGATGCCTGATATTTTTCATCAGCCCAGGTTTCCCTCTGTTCTGTTTGTGTTTGTGCTGCTGTCATAGCAATGGTCCGCCTGCATTTATGCCAAGAACACTTTAGTTGCTTTAGACTTTGAAAAGAACAGACTGTGATGTTGGAGGAAACATCTGCTACGACAGACACCTCCAACTCTGACTACAGCAGGAGCAGCAACATCACCGGCTACCTTTTAGCTACAGAGACGCCGCATGTGATTGGAGAAGAAATGGAGAGGCACACAACCCAAAGAACACCGTCACCACACACTACTCCTTCTCTAAGAGGAAATGTTGCTGACGAACCTGAACAAACCATCATTTAAACCTTGCAGAAAATCTATGTGAACTTAAGAGCTGGTGTGATGTCACAAGAACTGCCCAAACAAACTCTCGACTTGCCTGAAACCCAAAGTGAAAAAATTGAAAGAACAAAAAAATAAAGTAAAAAAGTTTCACCTCCTGAAAAAAAAGCTTTAAAATCCCAAATGAACATTTAAAAATTCCTTCTTCTAAAAACAATTGAAATTATAATAAAGTAAAATGCCACATCCAAGTGCATGAGTAACGTTAACCAAATGTCGCGTTGAGGCGTGAAGTCGGATAAAACCGTGTGCACAGCAGAATTTCTACTTGCGTCTGCCACTGACAGGTGATGATTAATTAAACTACAAGACAAACCTGTTAACACACGTTACACTCACAACGACAACTTGGAGGGCACTGACGAATGATTTCATCTCATTAAACGACACCTGATCAAGTGTAGGATGAATATGTGGCATTAAAATAGCTCTGCTGAGACAGAGGGAAATGAGAGACGCCTGGTCGGATCAGGCTGATGTCTGAAGAACAGAGACCTGCGCTGTTAACGAGTCCTCGCCTCGTCTAGAAACACCTGAATTTTTCATGTTTTTGTCGGCTCTCACCTTGCAGCTCTGAGGTACATGAGAAGGTCGCAGTCATTGACCCCTGGCATCCAGACCAGCTCCTCATTTTCAGTCACAGACTGGCCGCCAGGAGAGGGGAAAGGCTGCAGCTCCGGGAGCTTGGCCTAATTATGTCCAGGCAGAGAGAGAAGAACATGTGGTGTCACACTCCAAATAGCATGGCAGCCTGGAGAAAATGTCAGCTTTCAACCGCGTGTCATCAACGTTTGCAGTGGATGAGTGTTGGCGAAGGGGGAATGGGGACGAGTTACAGTCGCAGTTATTTAATATCTTAATGCGACGTGAGGCTCCGCTCACATGACGTCCTGTCCTTCACATTGATCTGAGTGACTGACAGGGGGCAGAACTGAGCGGAGCATTTATTAACTTTCAGGGTCTTTGAGAAAGGACTCTTAAAGGGTCTAAACCAAGTCGTCTTTGGGGTGAAATCTTTTCATTCAGGGTGATGGGTGACGAGTGACGTGGAACCAGCTGTTGACTTTACCCCGTGTGGTTCTGGGACTTACTTGGTGACTGGGTCCCACTCGGATTTCCCCTTGTGTGCTGTTTAGTCGCCTGAGTAGAGACAAAAGAGAGCAACATGAAAAAGAATACTTTGTCGGCTGTGTTTCAAAGCTAGCTTTAAAAACTCCAGACAGCTTTGTGTCTGTGGCCTCAGCAGTCACCCAACGGCTGTCATCACTGAGAAGAAACTGGGACGAGAACAAACAAACTTTAACATTTTTCTTTTTTACAGCATTAAGAGCTTGGTGCAGATGATCCTTTTATACATAATCCTGACACACTGTCAACAGTTTCCAGGTAAACTGCAAGTTAGGCAGGAAATGATCCAATCAGTAATCAGTAAATAATTATCTGAATAATATGACATTAATTGTTGGTTATAGAACTCCTCTTCATTCAGGAGGAGACTCCTTGGCCAACGCTCCTGCAGAGATAGAGCTGAGCCCAGCAAATTTCGCCGCTCGGATATTGCGGATCCAGCAATAAAACTGAATCCCCGAGCACGAGGAGGAGCAGGAGGAGCAGGAGGAGCAGGAGGAGCAGGAGAGAGAGCTGGCTCTGGATATGCAAGAACAACACGGCTGCTGGTGCAAATGGTGGTAGCCATGGCAACTGCAATTTAATAATAGTGTTGTGAATCTCCAGCTGCAGTGGATTAAAGAAAATGACAAGACGTTTCTTTTGAAAAGCCTTTCCCCACCGTTGCCTAGGTAACAGCGCTGATTTTCATACAGGCGAGCGCGAGGCGGCCCAGAATCTGTCAGTGTGATTTGCACCCAGACAAGCTCGCACTCCATCATGCAGACCTGCTGGAAACCTAAGAGGCCGCAGTCCTCTGCTCCCTTTTTATAGCCCTGCAGCCACGGAGCTCCGAGGGAACAAACCTCAGCCTCCTCTGACAGCAGAAAGTGATTAGAAGGTTAATCCTTATCATTATGAACTACGGCTGACAGAAGCACTGGAACAGACAACACTAAATCAGGCCAGAGACCGACTTTCATCTGCACCGGGTGACCCCGGCTCTGCCAGGACACGGTGCTGCTCTGGAACATGTTGAAATACTTCGTCTGATTTCACTGCAAATATTCTCTGCAGATAAGACAAACTTAATGTTCTGCGATGATGGTTTGGCCGAGTGAACGGGCCCTGAAGCAACGAGGAGTTCTGATAAAGACACAGCGGGGACGTTCCCTGCGTCATCTGCAGTTCACTAAAGAATTTTTATTGAACTCTTTGACACGTCTCGGGCTATTGTTTGAATTTAAGTGCGGAAATAGCTTTATGAGCGCTCAGAAGAAACTTAATGTGAAAACAATACACTATTTCATTTGAATAACTACAAATACATGCCACAATATTCAACACAACAGCCTTCCCCTACAGGTCTGTTTGGGAAGAACAGATGAAATAGTAAATACATACTCCAGACTAGCAAATGTATATCATATATATGTATGTATGTATGAATGGATCTGGTGTTCCTACTGAAAAAAAAAGAAATTCCACAAATGTATTCCTGACAATATACAGGTCCGTGCAACGTCTGGCAGGAGGCTGTAAGGATGACAAATGAGAACCTGTGCGGCAGAGCAGGAACGGCTGTCTGTAGACAGCAGTGTTTTATTCAGGCAAATCCTGAGAGCAGACATCTGACAGGTAGTGGGACACGGGGGGGGGGACACTGTAGGAAAACACGAGGTGAACAATAGAGCTTATAGTAGGACAATATTAGTCCTTATTTATTAAGCTTTTTTGTTCAAAGCTACTGTTAATCATTATTGTTTTCCTGGACATGTTAGAAAAATATAGATTATATAGAAAAACAAAACCTTTAGTAATGAACTCCACCAGAGCTCATTACTCCTCGGGTTGCTTCTGATTTATTTTAAACACATTTTTTCAAGATTCATGTCAGTGCAAATTATTATAATCCCCTCTAGAGGAAAATAGACGATAAAGCATGCCAGTACCTGGAGCCTGGCTGCAGCAAAGTTTAGCAGAAGAACATAGAGATTTCTGAGGGTTTCACTTTACAAACATTGTTCAAAGCGAGGGAATGTGTGTCCACCTCTTGGGGTGCATTCCATATCTACTTCTGCCAATTAGGCCTGTCAAAGTTTTTTTTTCTGGACAACAAAAATGTTCTTCTGCAGGAGTGAAGGTTTAAAATCACAAATCATATTTTATTGGTGTAGACAAGGGAACATTTTTTTTGTCTCTCATAACTTTCACAGTCTGCTCTGGAGTCTCCATTGTTGTCAAGGTTATCAGGTTCATTTACATGGAAACCAGCTGTACACAGTCTGACAATACTGAGGTATTTAATGTAGTTTTAACCATTTCCAGCTTTTTTGCACACCTGTGCCTCTCAAAAAGGTGGCTCATCAGGTAGTTTCTAACTAACAGTGGTGACAGATATGTTGTTTGGGGGAAGTATTCTGATGTGTGGACAAAGTAAACAGAGAAGAACTGTAATGAGGTCTGATTTTGACGAGAGCTGGTCCATCCTGTGGCTTTGTCTTTGGACTTTAGCATGAAAAGACCTACTGATGGTCACTACTGGACAGTGACCAGGTCAGAAGAACTTTGAGAAGTGGAGGATTTTCAAATAGTCAAATAACAGATATGCAAAAAATGTATTCATAATGGTGTAAACAAGTGTAAAATTCATTATTTCTATTGTTGCCCTGAAACTGTGAAGGAATAATTCTGTGGCACGGAGTTTGCTGACCTCTGACAAACTCCTCAGACCCTGTTGCATCACAAGATAAACAAAGACATAAACAAACCACACAGCCAGTTCAGACCTGTGTCCATGTCAACAGTAATCACTGGCCCGTGTATCAAAGTAGACAAACTGTCGAGTCAACGCTCAGTTTCCGACTCTGTGTGTGTGTACATGTGTAATCAAAGATAACCCCGCCCCCTCCATCAATTGTAGCCAATCACAGCACGACTTAGTGGCACACTGACATAATTGCAGCACAGCAATAACAGACTCATCATGGTGGTATTTAAGAAGCACAACAAACAGCGTGTACACGCACAGACGCGCACGCACAGAGACGGCGGCTGTTTCTTGCTGGAGCTTTGTTTGCAGCAGCAGCAGCAGCAGCAGCAGCAGTGTTAGCAGCAGCAGTATACGCCATGTCATCCACCGACTGTAAACACAGCAGCTGCAAAATGGAGCCAGGAGGAGCCGCTCCGGGTCTGATCATCACCGCGGCGGGACCACGCTGCCTGCGCGTTCATCACAATTACACCCGCAAATATAAAGTTTGCAGCCACGCATCGGTGGTGGCGGCAGCGCGTGAATGCAGGCTCGGGATGCTGCGGGTTTGGCGCAAACGTGTGAGGGAAAAGAAGAGTTGAAGGCAGCTGCAGTGACAGACCGGCTGTCTGTCTGTCTGTCTGTCTGTCTGTCTCCCTGCCTGCAGACACAATAAAAGTGCAGCGGCTCCACATGCATGCGTCCAGGGATGACAGTGATGCAGACATCACACACACTCACACTCACGGCTTCAGGACGAGCGGATGAGACGACGATGGCAGCAGAAAAAGCAGCGCAGACCTACCTCCTGGGACTGAACAGATCGTCCATGTCAGACATCGAGCCCTCAGGTTTGGGTGCTGACACTCGGTCTGCACTGCCGGCTCTGGACGGAGCTCCCCTCTCTAGCACCTATGTGGTCTCTACGGTGCTGAAAAATGGAGAGGCGCGGAGCGGCTGGCCAGACACAGAGGTGTTCACTGAGCTTGTGCTGTGACCTCAGCCTGCACGTACAGCGACGCCAGCTCCGCTCGCTGCTTCTCTGCGGACACTACTGAGCATGTGCTGCGACCTCGGCGCCGTGCACATGCACGCGCACGTGCACGGACCCGCACAGACACACCGACAGACTGACTGACGAACGGGGAGGCGTGCATGACGCGGAAGTCATCTCTGCACGTCCGTCTGAGCCATAATAAACAAGAGTGAATTTGCAGAAGCTGCAGACAGCGCGCAGTGAATACCAAAAGCATCAGAGGCTGGAGGAGAGACGCAGGGAGGGAGGGGGAGACCGAGGGTGAACGGGGCCCCTCAACAGGGGGGTTCTCAACTGGCAACCATCACTGGCCATAACACAACGACAGCTGTCACTGCAACACGTCATAATCTCCCAGTATGTAAATCCTCCCTCAGTCAAGCACTAACGTCATCATCATCAGTAATACACCAACCAACATGTCAATCAAATCCTCACAACACACCTCCCGCCCCCACCTGTGTGTGTGTGTGTGTGTGTGTGTGGCAAAGTGGAGGTTTCACCTCAGCACATGCTGGACATCCATCATCAGTTCATGACCAAAGTCACATAAACAAGTCACAAAAACTATTCATGGAACTCTGTGGTTCTAAAACTATCATATCAAAACTCTATCATGCAGTAGGTCTCATCAACATTTTGGAAATGATCAAATGAATAACGTATTATTATTAGTATTTAAAACACTGATTGAAAAATCATGTTTTTAGCACTTTGGTCTATACACATTTCTAAGAGTTTGCACTATGTAAAATGTCTGTAAAATGATTTTTTGATTATTTTCAAGGTAATGACACCTTCACTCTGCAGTGGAACAACTGAACAACAACTGATTGATAACTTGTGTAGTACAATTCCATTAAAGCTAAACAATTTAGTGACATTTAGAGTCACAAATATCTGCAGACAGGTGTCCACCACAAAGCCTTAGTAAAATATTATATTATAGAGAACAATCAAAATAAAAAAAATCCAATTTCAGAAAATTACATTTACAGGTTTACATTTTCAAAAGAATCTTTGCAAACAGGTAATTCAAATAATTCATATTACTGTTGTTGTTGTTGTTGTTGTGTAGTAGTGGTAACACATGTGATGTGTAGTCATGTACGTAGGTAACCTGCAGTAATGAAGAGTTAATACTGCAGTGAGAACTGATTATATCGGTCATAAAACAACCGGATTAAATCACTGCTCAGACTAAGATCATGTTTTTCCCATCAGAGATGTTTAAACTCGTCTTGTGCGTCACTACGACTGGTTGTCTTCCAAACAACTCGTCAGACGAACAAACACGTCTGATGTGCTGATGGTTGTTCTTTTTCCAATTCAGATCATTTTTCTTAGGAGAGAGACGATAAAAGTCAGAAGAGAGCAACACACTCTCAACAATCAAAGAACTGTGGGAGTCTGCCTGAGCTCATTCTCCATAATTACAGCACATTAGGACCTTTGTGTGTGTGTGTGTGTGTGTGTGTGTGTGAGCACAGATAACACCGACTGGAGAATAACAAGCAGCGAGCATCATTAAAACTAATGTGGAAGGAATAAACAAAAAGTCAATTACTTCTGTAATGATTATTTTTACCTTTCATTTTATTTATTAAAACTATATTTAATTGTCATTTAACACAGCATCTTTTTAAAGCATGTGCTGTTAATTACTGTTTATTCACATTTTTGGTATTCTTATTTTATGTGTGAAATAATTAATACATTGTTGTTTGGTTTTAAAATACTGTATGTTAAAGACTTTTCTGGGGTCATAGAAAAAAAGTTTTGAAAAAAGAAAGTGTTAATGTAGGACCCATGTTATCTTATCCATTTCTTTATTTAATAACATTTTGACAAAGTAACTTCCCTAATTGGAGTTATTTATTGCTGCAGCCACCAATAATAAAACAGTACAAACAGAAACAAAGTCCTCACCTGGTCTCTGGGTTGTATCCCAGGATGTAGAAAAAGGAGTCGATGCGTGCTTTGAACTCCCTGGCAGCGAAAATGTCAGAGAAATGAGAAATGTTGCATTTCCCCCTGGAAGAGAGAAAAATACGGTTTTAATTAGAGGGGAAGAAAAAAAAACATCCACCCACAGCAGAGGAAGATGTGCACCATCTAATGAGGAGCTCCGGGGGGAAGGGGACGGGAGGGGGTTTATTTACCGCAGGTGACAAATACAGTTGGTAGCTTTCTACTTCCTGTCAGTACCTGCTGACTTAGCTGTGAGACATCAGACTGCAGCTAGTCAGCCTGTAAACACCGGCTCAACATGTCAAGCCTGGCGTCTCGGCTGCAGCTGAGGTGTAGGAGACGAATACCACAGAGACCTGGACCCCCCCCCCCCCCCCCCNAGCAGAAAGTTAGAGTCATGACCACATCCCTGTGCCATTTCCTGTTTCCAACACTGGCTGAAAAACAGGAGACAACGCAGGCATATGGAGGCTGGGCTGCCGTGAACAGAAACAGTGTCTCCCTCCCTTTAAAAAGATTAACTGGTGGTGAGGAGGGCCTTTTTCAGAGAGAGAGCATTACAGCATCCCTGTGGAATTCCCCCTGCGTTTATCTAAATCCCGTAGAATAAGTCAAATCAAAGGGCTGCTCTGTGTAGAGCGGAGACGCAGTTAATTTGCCCTGAAATCAGCGGTTTCTGTAAGACAGGGCTCCGACTGCACACTGATGTGTTCTGCTCACAGATGGTTGTGGTTAAAGAGGGAGAGACGTGGGGAGAGGAGGCGAGGCTGCTCACTCAGGCATGAATGAAGACACCGAGGCACGGACAAAGAATATATGAATTTAAAACCAGAAGTAAAACAGGCTGTGGAGAGTTCTCTTCTCTTCACACTCATTCTGCCACAGGCACTGATGTTTGAACAGGAGGGTATTTTAGTCAAATTACTTTGTGTAAAGACAGAAAATCATCAGGTGAGTGGACTTATTTTGGCAGCTGTAGCTGAAAGCACCTGTTAGTGAGAAAACAGCTGCAATTCCACCTCCAGAACAAAAGACTGAAGAAAGACTTTTGTGCATTCATCCTGAAAGAACCAGGAGTTAAATCCATTTAAATATGTTTCAGCCGAGACTAAGGACTGTCAGAAAAACATACCCAACTGTGATCAGTACACATTTTTTTAGTTCACTCGCTATTAACAAAAAACATTTGTCCTAATGTAGAATTGTTCAGTATGTTTCAATTATTACAATATGTTGTTTGCAAGTATTGTGCAATGACCTCCTGGCCTGTAGGGGGTGCTAAGTAAACATTTGAAAGCCCCCTTCCAATATACTGTGGTCTGTGGTCACTTGAGAAACACAGTTCTTCTACAGTAGAATGGACCTTGAATGCAACACTCTCCACTGCAGTATGTAATTCACAATGCACGACTAGAAGTGTTAGCAGTTCACTCTCAGGGCGCATCGTTAAAACAAGGCTAAGCTGAGCTAAACCTGCTAACAACATTAGCCTCCTTTACTCTGAACTTAACCTGCAGTTCTGGGCTGAGTTACAGTTGGAAAACTGTCTTTGTTTGAGGGCGGGGGGAAAAAAACTGAACAACATCAGGGTAAATATAGTGCATTGTATTAAAGAGTTATACTGCTGTCTGCTGAGTCTGCTCCGCTGCAGCCGAGTTTCTCATTGTGGTGTTTTATCAAACACACAGATGGTTTGAGTAACTTCTGTGCTCCTGTGTATTACAACAGAATGTTGTTTGAAAGATGGATGGTCGGTGCGAGGGGACTCTGAAGTTACAACAGGATATATCGGTGTCATAAAAATGAATAATAACCTCATCATACAAAGTGCTGCTCGTATGCCAATACTGCATATACAGAGGAGTCAGGTTATTTAGAGCAGGACTGAAGAAATCATGAATTATGGTGGAGAGAAAAACTGACTTTTCCATAGAGTAAAGAAGTTTAAATAAAAAGGATTTTATAGCCACACATCAGTGAATACTGCTGAGTGACAGACACACAACACACACTGATAAACAGCAGAGTGGTGTACACACTGCTGGTTCAGTTCCTCCTCCTCCTCCTCCTCCTCTCTGATCTTCTCTGTTTTCACCTGATCCAGACCTGGCTCTGCTGTCAGTGTTGATACTGTTCATTCATCATTGATAAACTTTATTTTAGTATAATTGCTTTCACATCTAGCCCTTATGATGAAACTGTTTCCAAGACTATTTGCAATTGAACACTTTTGATTGACAGCACTTAGATCGTAGTTCATCGTTCATCTGCTCCTGCTCTCTTCTCCTCCCCCTGTCTCCCCCTCTGCCTTCTGCTGTCTCCCCCCATTTCCCTTCCACAATGCTGACGGCTGAATGCTGAGATTGGACCTGCAGGAGATTTTTTCCTGTTAAATGGAGTTTTTCCCTCCCACCCTCACCTAAATGTCTCACCCTAATTTTAGGTTCACTGTTAATGTAACTTCAATGGTCATTTTGTATATATGTTATATATGTTTCTCAGTTTTCTCCTGTGACAGATTCTTTTGTAAGATGTCAGTTTATATTTTTTTAATTTAAAACTATAAAGGTTTGGAAAGTGTTTTTTTTTGTTATTCATTTGAGTGTTTTACAAAAACAAACTCGACTTAAATCTTCAACAGCATTCATTATGAACCTGAAATATTTACATTTAAATGCTTAGAAACAACAGTTAGACAAAGAAGGACGTACCTGAGAGCAGCAGCGTGATACGTGTCCACATAGTCAGAGATGAAGAGTTCTCGACTCCTGACCACAGGGTCTGTGATGACCAGCTCCCGGCCAGAGTCTAGAAGAACAGAAGACAAAAACACACATTATGCACAGAATTCATATCATCGTGTTCAGATGAATATATTCAGGTCAGGAAACTGGTTCATCCATAACAAAGACATGGACAGAGACAATGTCTCTGGGTGTTTGAACTCACTAACATCATTATCAGTAGACTTCTGCATAGGCTCAGAGTAACCAGTCTCTACACGGAGGTCAATGTGATGCCACATAATTCAATAAAAACCAATAAAGCTCCCTGAGGAGAGTACATGACGCACAGCTCTCTGCTGAAATCACTCCTTGTGGGGTTAGAACGCATCAGCTGCAGCGAGGACGGGCCGAGACGCGTCGTTGACAAATGACCCCGAGTCGTTACGTGCTGTGGCCACTGCGCCGTGGCCTTGTGACATCAATTCTAATAATCCTCAGCTCCCGTTCCAAGGACGGGGCCGCAAATAGCAGAGTGTCGGGTGTTGCTGTAACAGGAGCGGCGTCGGTGTTTGTTTGATAACCTCGACGACACACCTGAATTAAAGTCTTTCTCCAGACACGCAGCGATACTGGGAGGTGGTGAAAGAAAACAGGAAGCAGCAGCCTGTGAAGTTGTCAGAGTGACTGCAGATACACCGGCTCTGTGCTTACCAGGCCGTCCGTGTTCAGAATATATTTAGAGACGAGTGTGCCCTGTGTGGTGCACTGAGAAAAGCTCAACCTTTAGGGGCACGCTAGTTAATGAGAAGCACCAGCTGCTAACAGGAGGTGACAAAAGACACCAGTGTGTGTGTGTGTGTGTGTGTGTGTGTGTGTGTGTGTGTGTGTGAGGCTAAGAAAACATTGTGGTTTTTGCTTAAAGCTAAAAAAGTATTATTGGAAAAAATACTTTGATGACAGAGTGAATATCTTGACTGATAATAGAAGTAAGTAATTATTCTCCAAATCATTTCTTTATAATATTCTTCTCTTAAAACAACGATTTGATATTTCATTAGTTAAGAAACACTGTGTGTGTGTGTGTGTGTGTGTGTGTGTGTGTGTGTGTGTGTGTGTTGCAGCGTGATGAGTCCACCGCTGACATTTATGACATTAAGTGTGTGCCTGTTTGAGTGTGTGCTTCAGGGCCTCGTGACACTGTAGGTTATTAACACTTGACAGAGCCGCTGTCTGGCCTGAAGGAGTGTTACCCAGGGAACAGCACGCAGCCTCAGGATTGGCTCAGCTGCCTGCGACACCGTCTCCTGGTGTGTGTTTGAAATGCAATTGACTTCTTATATCCTTTCACAACCTGGAGAGCAGTGGCAGGTGTGTATTTGTGTGTGTGTGTGTGTGTGTGTGTGTGTACAGACGGTAGGAACCAATCTAAAGTGGAAGGTAAAGTGATCAAGTGAAAGTGTATTTACACCAACACGGCAGCCTCACCGTTCTCATTGTTGCGATCCTGCACCAGGTGCTGGTACACGGAGTCGGGCACCTCCGACTGGCGGTAGTACCATTTCACATTCATCAGCAGATGGTCCCGTTTGCTCTGCAACACACACAGACAGAGAGCAGATAAGCAGATGATTGATGACAACTCTGACACAAAGACAAAGATCATTTTGTTTGATTAGAAATGATAAAGTCATAAATCCTTTCTTAGAAAACCGTGCGGCTGTGTAAACACACATTCTATGACTCACACAGAGTCGTGCCAGAAAGCGTGCAGAGACTCAGACTGGAGACGGGACTGCAGGGCATTGAGAGTTTTAATAAAGTAAACTGTAGGACAATAAGTGCTGGTGGGAATGTGAAGAGAGAGAAAATTACTTTTTTTTTATTGTAAATAACTTTTTAATGACATTATTCCTTATTTGTTTCTTCACACACAGTTCTCACATTATAGCATACTGTGAGCATATCTGTATATACTCCATTAGTGCTGCCATCTACTGGCTTTTCAATATAGTGCAAGTCGGTAAAGTCCCGCAAGTCCAAAGACGGCCAGCAAGTGGCAGCACTGTGGTGAGTTTGTCCAGGAGGAGTGAATGAAAATCTGAACGCAATGGTGCAAAAAAAAAAAAAGGGAGAGTGGGAGATGGGGGTTGGTGGGCGTGAAGAAAATGGCAAAAACCGAGGCCAGCGCTGAGGTGAGAGATGAAAAGGGCAAAA